GGGGGGGGGGGGGGGGGGCAGATTGGCTCACACACAGACTCTGTCGTCCGGGGGCGACCACCAGAGCTTTAGCTCCCTGACACGCAAGCCATCCGTTGATTCCCGCAGTTATCAGCCACCTCTTCACGAGAGCGCCGCCGTCAACGGCAATGGCAAAGCAACTCCCACCGCGGCGTCACATCGCGAGCGCGCTTCCAAGCTGCCAGTCGCTGGTCAGCCGTCCCTCCACAATGTGTCGTCCGCTTCATCTCTGCGCAAGGCAGGAGCGGAAGCCACAGGGCGTGTGCCTCCTGCGGCTACCCCGACCAAGATTCCACGCATAGCTTCGAGGCCCTCGGTTACGACACCCAACGCCAACATGAATGTCGCGGCAGCACACATGAGTATGCCCCCGCCTGCGATCCCGCATTCGTCCTTTAGCCACCGCGCGTCGACTCAATTTCACACTGCCAGCAGCCACACTCTCCCGAGCAGTACTAGCACGAACGACATTTCCGAGTTTGGTGCCGTCTCTGGCATCGCGGGTGCTCGCCAGTCCATTCAACGCCCTCCGTCATTCGGATCTCATCGCTCGCAGTTGCATGCTCCGGGATCTGCCCGCAAGCACAGTGTCTCAGGCATCCCGGCCCCTCCATCGTCTTCGAACCTCGCCGCTCAGGCATCACGTCGCGAGACCATGGGCGCTGCGCCAGCCGTTTCTGCAGCTGCGGGCCTGCCTGCATCGCGCCGCACGCTTCCGCAAATCCCTTCCTCGGCTACTGCAATGACTATTTCGGCTGCAGCCAAGGCTCGTCCCGCCGCCGCGCGTCGTGGATCTGGCAGTCCGACTGCCCCGGAGGAGCCCGCCCCAACCATGAAGTTGTCCAAGTCGTTCCACACCAAGGCCGCCACAAGCGGGCATTCGCGCATGTCGCTGTCGTCGTCGGTCGGCGCTGTTTCGGGATCGCGTCGTCAGTCACTCGCCACCGAGTCAGCCAGCAGTAGCCCAGCCGACGACGAGGAGGCGGTAGCAGATGCGGAGATGGGCGCTTACGTAACACGCCGCAAGGCGCGTGCGGCGTCGGGCTCAAAGAAGGACGACTTGAGCGACCTGATTGCCTTCCCCGAGGACATTGCACCGGCACAGCCTGTCAGCCAGAGGGCATTCATTGGCAGCAACCTCAATTCGCTGTCAGACTACGAGCGTAAGGAGGTCCTCGACTTTGACTTCATTTACTACATGGCGCGCGGGGTCAAACGTCCGAAGCAGCCGGACGGGAAGATCTACAACCACGGCTACGACGATGAGCGCGGTGACTACATTGTGGTTGAAGGCGACCATCTCTGCTACCGTTACGAGGTTGTCGGTGTTTTGGGCAAGGGTTCGTTCGGCCAGGTCGTGCACTGCCGCGACCACAAGTCGGGTGGGTCGGTCGCAGTCAAGATTATTCGCAACAAGAAGCGCTTCCACACTCAAGCTTTGGTGGAGGTCAAGATCCTGCAGCAGATTGTTGACTGGGACCCGGAAGACAAGCACTATATGGTCAAGATGACCGACCACTTCTACTTCCGCGGCCACCTTTGCATCGTCACTGAGCTGCTGAGTATCAACCTATACGAGCTCATCAAGGCGAACCAGTTCAACGGCTTCTCGACTGTCCTTATCCGCCGCTTCACGACGCAGATGCTGTCGTCACTCATGTTGATGCGGTCCCACAGAATTGTCCACTGTGACCTCAAGCCCGAGAACATTTTGCTGCGGCACCCTGCCAAGTCTGGCATCAAGGTCATCGACTTCGGCTCGTCCTGCCACGAGTCTGAGAAAGGTGAGTGTTCATGGACTTCGTGGATGCGACACTAACCGGTAGTGTACACGTATATCCAGTCCCGCTTCTACCGCAGTCCAGAGGTGATCCTGGGTATGAACTACGCGATGGCCATCGACATGTGGTCGTTGGGCTGCATCCTTGCGGAGCTGTACACTGGCTACCCTATCTTCCCCGGTGAAAACGAACACGAACAGCTCGCGTGCATTATGGAGGTTCTAGGCGTTCCCGATCACTATATCGTTCAAAAGGCATCGCGGCGCAAGCTCTTCTTTGACGCCACGGGCGCTCCCCGTCCGTTTGTCAATGCCAAGGGCAAGAGGCGACGACCTGGGACGAAGACACTTGCGTCGGTGCTAAAGTGCAACGATGAGCTATTCATCGACTTTATCTCAAAGTGTTTGACCTGGGACCCGGACAAGCGTCTCAAGCCACAGCCGGCGATGCGTCATCCGTGGATCCTCGCTGGCAGGCGCCGCTCGCCTCCTCCTCAACCTGAGCGTGAGGGACGAACATCCTTCCTCGGCTCGAGCGCGCGGCGCTCGACCGTTAACGGTGACAAGAAGAGCCTGGTGATCTCGCCTCCAACTCCTTTAGTCGCCCGCGTTCCGCAGGCGCCGCAGTCAGCGTCCCGCATCGGAGTAAGCGTCTCGACTGCACGCCTGCACGCGCGCAACAGCACCTACGTCGTGAGTAGGCCCCCGTCGACATCTTCTGACTCGCAGCCCAACGCCCAAAAGGTCAGCATGGCTTAATGTCGGACGACACGATGACCACGACATACTACGCATCAAACATATCCTACTTATCCACATGCCTACCTACCGACGAATCATCTCACCTGACACTTCCCTCTTTCCCTCCCTTGTGTATACACTATATTGGACCAGGCAGGCATAATAGCGCTGGAACGGCAGCGCTTAGCATACAAGATCCGTTAGCGTGTCCCGCAGGACGCGCTTCCTGCATGATATTCGTACCATGGCTCTCACTAGATGCTTTAGTGCCTTGCATGTGCGAAGGAGGGTCGTAGGGTCGGCGACGCAATGCATGGCTTGAGGCAGCGGAGTAGTACGACAGTGATGGCAGCCAAGAGGTCATTGCGAGGATCTTGGGCCTGCAGGGCGACAGTAGGGCTGCGCTTCCGAGGGAGACCCGAACTTCTGGGACGACAAGATGAATTGATGCACTCGCCTGGTCGCCTGGTCGCGCCTGACATGCGGGCGCGTGCGTGCGAAGAGCTCGGCATTCCCCACACACACATGGTAGCAGAACCCTTGGTTGTTCACAGCGGGGGCCAGCTCGGCCCCGCACTTTCTCGTTCCCATAAGCCATAAGGGGCGGTAGGACTGCATCGAGACGAGGACGAAAGATGGTACCGTTCTCATTTGGGAGCGAGTGTGGGCAGGTGGTCCAGCAGGAGGACTCCGCACATCCAAAGTGATGGGAATATGACGAAGAGCATGGGGTTGTCGTTCATCTGCAGCGATCTCGAGGCACAATAGTGGCAGGATCAGCTGTGCGCTCAACTTTCTCTGTCCTCTGCGACGACACATTGCGTTGTGAGCGCCTGCCGCCATTTAATAAGCTCATTCTCCGCACACCCGTGACCAGCTGGTCGTGTGGCAGCCTGCACAGCTGAGATGCAGCCACGATTCCCACTCGCAAACTCAATATTCTGCCACTCGGACACGCCATCAAACCCCACGCCATCAAGCCAAGATGCAACAGGGTTGCCATGCCCCCGCAACGCACAACGCACCCCGCACGTCTCCCCAGCTCCCTGCCATGTCGCAGCAAGAACCAGCCATGTCATGATTCAGGCTCAGACCGCCTTACCAAGGTTGGGTTGGAGCGTGCAGCCCAGAACCTTGTGCGGTGCCGTGGCGCCAGAGCGATTGACCTGAATTGATGCCAGGAGGATGCGGGGATATCGCGTGGCCACGACCGCCTGGCTGTATGGTACTCGTACTCGCACGTGAGGTGCATCTGCGACGTTGGAGCAAAAGAGGGGTGTACCGATTTGGGAGATGACCAGGGAGGAAAACGGGTTAGATCTGGGGCTTACGAATTTCTGACGCGATGGATGCCTAAATGCAAGTGGAAGGTGCATGATATCTATGCAACAGGCAAGTCGTGATCGAGGTCGCTTGAGCGCTCTCCAGGCTTCAGGCCATGCTTGAAAGCAAGCTTGACGGGCACCCTTCCACCCCTTTCCGCATGGCCCTCATGGGGCCTCATGGCCTTGTCGCCTCATGGCTACATGATGGAGAGGCGGCCTGGGCACCCTGGGTGGGCAGGGAGCTGTGTGAACACGACGCCTCGAGGGTACAGCGTGGAGTCCTCCCAGCAGTGCGGTGCAGATGGGATGGTGAAGAGCCTAGCATTCGGAAGACGACAAGATCCAGCGAGACAGCTTGCCGAACTTGTTCCGAGAACGTTTAATCCGGAGATGGAAACCGTTTGGTCGATACGCCAGGAAAAAGCAGATCCGTCTGCCCGAGCTGGCTTGCCTGCACGAATTGCTGACCAGATTATTGGCCCCTGCCATGAACGCGCGACGCGACGCGTTGCTGAATGGAGCAAGACGCGGTCCGAGGACGCGGTGGAGCCATGTATTGGCCCGGGCTCGACGCCCTGGGACCCCTCGACGTCGAAGCCCCCCGAAGCCCTCGAAGGCGTGGTTTGCGTCTCTTGCCGTCAGTGCCGTCAACAATAGTTTCCCGCAGGTACGCAGGGCGACTGGAGGCACGAGAGAGCAAGAACGGAGCTGGAGTCGAGAGCTGTTGCGTCAGAGGTTCAGGACATCCCCACACTTTTTCTACTTTGGCCTCAACTGGGCCGCGAGGCAATTCTAGTCAATTGCCGGAAGCGGCTGTGGCGCATGACCTGTGCCACTTCGGCATCCCTCGTCTCGGCCCCGGCGCTCTGTCCTCTCGCCGCCTCTCGGCTTGTTGTACCTCTGCCTCCGACCATCTCTGCATCATGCTCTGAGACAAACGCTCTTGGTACCCGGTACGTACTCCTCAAGCCCCAGGCTCAGCTGCCTTGGTTCCCGGAACCTGCACTGCGCCACAAGGCCAAGCGTCTCTCCCTCCCCCGTCATTGTCATGTTCATCGCCCCACATCCACGCCTTCTCAACCACTCCGCACATCGCGTCCTTTACTCTTGCACTCTCCTCCGTTCGCGCACTCATTTATCCACTGCAACCTCCTTGATCCTCCGCATCCCCATTTACTACTACGACATTATCTCGATCGCCGAGTTAGACGCTCATCACCTCCATCAACTCCAGCCGCCGATCAGCGAGCGACTACCGCGTCACGCCGTAACGCCGCTATAAGCCGTCCATCAAGGCTCCTTCATTACCTCTCTTCTGGAACTCGACGCGCCCATTCACTGTGCATCCGCCCACCTCGACACCGACATTTATCTTACTCTCGTTGTACTTTTGACATCCACTCGACATAGACGCCCGTGCGGCCTGACAGGACACCACCGCCGGCATCCACCGATTCGCCACCGACCGGTCTCTCGCCAAGACCGAGGCTGATTCTCCCAGCCGAGCCGAGGGACGGTGCCTCCCCTCCCCGACCGACTTCTTGCCTTCTTGCTCCCCACCGCCTCCTCTGCCTCCACAACCTCCGCACTTTGCGGACATGACGCGCGCCCGCGACCTCGCGATGCCAATGCCGCCGATCGACCTCCGCGACATCGACGGCGGCCCGAGCACCCCCTCACCCTTTGAGATTGTACGTGCATCCAACCCGAACCCGTCGCTAATTCAGAAATCGCTCGCGTATGGTCGCCCTCGCGCGCTCCCGACGTCGGTCTCAAACGGATCAGTCGCCTCGGATTGCTCCGTGGGCACAGAGGCAAGCGCCTCCACTGCTGCCAGCGACGAGCCGCAGACGCCCGCATCGGCCCTTGCCGGGTTAGCCCTCAGCTCGTGCGAAGTCACCCCACTCTCAACTCCTCTCATCTCACCTGCTTCTGCAACCGTAACCGGCAAGCGCCACCGCGACGAATGGACCATGGATGAGGTACAGCTTCTCGAGAATGTGAGTATCGCAGAGCGTTTCCGATAGTGTTCGCCTGGAAGGTCGACAGGCTTCTTTTCCCTGGTCACGTCAAGGTGACGCCCGGTGGCGCCGCCGTACCCTGTGATGGGGAACATGAGGATGTCGCTTCGCTTTGAGATGCTGTGGAGGTACTAACCCTTAGGTTCTCGCTCGTCCACCTCCCGATTTGCACTTTCCTCCTGGCTCGATGCCTCCGCCGGAGGTGATTGACGGCCTAACTTCGGCGATACTCGAGACACTAGGCCGAGACGAGGACAAGCCGAAGACATCAATCGCGATCGACATTGATTGCTCTTCCATTGATGTCTGGCCTCATTCGTGGGACGCGACACGGCATAAGCTTGCCGCCTTGGCGCTGGCTGACACCCGTCTCGGCGCCGAGCTTGCCAATCGCAAGCTCACCCGACAAGAGCGCTTAGCGCGCCCAGGCCTCAAGCGAGTGGGTTCTATGGACTATCTTGATGACGAGGATGGTGGCATGCCGAGCGAGCGCATAGGCCGCGTCCTCCGCCTCTCTACATCGCTTCAGAACAGCGCGCGCGGTGTCCCCGACCGGACGGCATCCCTCACCGTCCCAGCACCAGCTGCTGCGCGCGCCGCTTCTCTTGGAGCACTCTCTCGTTCTGAGGAACCGCTTAGCATCCCGCGCACGTCTTCCTCCCTATCAGTGAGCTCGGGGGCCAGCGTGAGTCGTCGGCCATCGCTGCTGGCCCGCGGACGCAGCTTCACGGCAGAGGACCTCGAGGGCGAAGAAGGGGACAGCATTGTCTTCGGGCGACGTCTTACTGCTCCACCCGACGAGCTGGCCCCCACCACGCCTCTACCAGCAGCCGAAAACACGCCGGCGGTGGCCGTCCTCTCCCCTTCGCCTCCCGAGGAGCCAGCACCCAAGCGCGCCTCCCTCGGCCGAAGCAAGAGCTACGGCCCATCGCCACGCGATGTGCAAGCGCGCCGCGACTCATTCCTCGCGCCTCCCATGCCCCCTCCTCCCAGAGTACTTGCGCTGGACGAGAGCTCCGCCCCCTCACCGGCCGCGCTCGGCGAGGGACTAGCCACAGCATTCGAGTGGACTGCCCCGAGCCGCACACCGAGCGGATGGGAAAGCGACTCTGATCGTGAATGCCCCCGCACACGTCGGAAGATGAAGGGCACTCTGGCCATGACAGCCCTCAACGCGGCGACGCGCGAGCGCTCTTCATCCCTTTCGAGCGGGAGCTCACGTTCCCGCTCTGCGTCTCTGTCCACGAGCGACGGGGCCAGCACCCCACCCCTCGTCATTTCTATGATGGTGGATGAGGCGGCGCTTGTGCGTGGCGGTGGCCTCCGCTCTCCTTTCGAGGAGAAGACGGTTGAGCTGGCGTAGCTCTCTCCACCGTAGCACGGCGCTGGCGCCGTAGCCGCAGAGGGTCGTCAAAGGTGTAACACTAGTGTATTACCTCGATTGTATGATCTATGAACATTGCCGTGGGAACACTTCATGACGTGGGTGGCTGGGCAGGTGGGTGACGAGCCCCTCAGAGCATTCAAAGGTCGTCTTCCCACAACGCGTCAGGCCTCACACGAGCGTGAGGCAGGCATAACGAGAACTTGAGAGTTAGACGCACATCGCAACGAGACGGTGGAATGCCGAACGACGAGCCCGCACGACAAGTACCTGAGTCCAAATATCCATGCATTTGATTCCGCGCCTCCACCTCCACCTCGCTCGAATTATTTGGCGGAGGACATCAACTACGACCACACCAAGGTCCATCATATCCTCTCCAACATTCGCCATGGTCACCGCCCCGCTCACCGGCTCGGCCTTGATCAAGGCGCTGAAGGGCGCCTCCGATCCTCCCGTCGCTGGAGGCCCGACAAAAATCGCCCTCGCCGCAGCCGCTTGGGCGGACGAAGGCCTCGTCGTGCCGCGCAAGGCCGACGTGATCCGCGACTGGGTGCTTGAGGCGTGGGCACGGCCAAAGACCGGGTAAGGTTGCAGTCTGCAGCAATGCTGACGGCAGACAAAGCGCCATCGCGAACGCAGACTACCACCAGCTCCTTGTGGACGTCTCGAAGGCGTGCGCCGCGCCGGCGCTGGCTCCGCTGTCGCTGCTCGGGACGTACATCTCGAGCGCGGTGGACGACAACGAGCTTGGCCGGGCCGCCGCTGAGTCTCTTCCGTTGCTATTTGGCGAAGGCGTCAAGTCGGACGCGTGGGCCGACATGCTTGGCCGCCTCGTTACGGCCCTCGAGACCGGACCGTGGAACTCGCTGGCGCCAGCAGCGCGGCTCATCTGCTCCGGCCTCGCTACCTCCCTCCCCACGTCTCCTAACGCTAAGAAGGTGAGATTGTTCTGCAATTATTACTGATACAGATCGCGCAATCCCTCCACGCCAAGCTTCCCGCCGTCGCCGGCGCGCTGCATGCCCATCCCCAGTTCAGCGAGGTCATCAGCCCCATCCTCCCCGCCCTCTTCTTCCCACTCGGTGTTCTCCAAACCGTCGAGCCATTGAAGCAGCTGCTCAGTCACCTCCTCCCTCCCTCTCCGTCACCCACCTCGGAATCGCTGTCACCGGCACTCGGCTTCGTCCCCGTTGCGCTCTCCGCGTTTATCGACGCTACCAAGCAGCACCAATACACCCTCTACGGCAAGGCGGACAAGGACAAGCCGCTCGAGGTCTACATCGCCGACCGCACGCGCGCAGCGGTCATTCCCGCCCTAGGTGCAGCATTGGATCTTCTAAATCGCTTGGAAGACGGGGCGTTGGCCCGACCCTCCTCTTCCACTGCCGCACCTGCTCTGGGCTTCGCTCTCTGGAGCTCCCGCCTGGCGCTGTGGGAGCGTGTGCTGCAGTGGGGTGGATACCTCGAGACGGACAGCAAGGCCGCTGCCCTCGTCACCGCCGAGGCGCGCCGTGGCTCGACCGCACTAGCAATGTACGGTGCCACCGAGGGGCAGGGTGCCGAGGAGGGGTTGGCAGGCCGCGTCCTTCGCACGCTCGACGCGCTCGAGCGGCTTGATCACGCCCGCTCGGCGCTCGGCACAGATGTTGTGGGATGGTGCCTTGCCGCGCCAGAACGGTGCCACCTCCCTGCGAGGACGCTGCTTGCATCCATTCTTCGGTATCACGTCCTCACCCACTCGTTGGAGCAGTACTTTGTGCTCCTCGCGGATGCTATCCGCGGTCTTTTCGATCCGTCTCTGCCATCCGAGGCTCTCGACCCGTTGTACACCCTCGTGGCGACTGGGCCACTGACGGAGCGTGCCTTCCGCGCCGACCTGAGCGCGGCAGTGCGCGGTGTCAACCTCGGCGGGCGGCGCGGCGCCGTTTGGGCGTCGATTCTGCGCCTGCTCGCTGCTCGCGCGAGAGAGGGCTTGGAAGGTGCCGAGACCGGAGGGAAGAGGAAGCGCGGAGTGTCCCCATGTGGTGCGCGCCTCGCCGCTGTCCTCTCCCGCCTTGTCAAGGTCATGTTGGACGCCAGCGCCCGTGCACGCGCCGGCGACGACGAGGAGGTCGTCCAGGAAGCTGTAGCGGCATTTGGAGATGAGTGGCCCGCGGTGGCGGAGGGAAAGAAGAAGCGCAAGTCGATGGGAGGAGACGATGCTGCAGAGCTCCTCTTCGCCGCTCGGCTGCGGGTGGCCCGTGCCGCCGGCCTCTTGCACCGTGACGAGGAATTTATCACGCGCACTCAGCTCGCGAGCGTCGCCGCGACATTTACGCTTCCTGAGCTGCGCCTCGAGGCTTTCCACTTCCTGTACACGGCCCTCGCACTCCGCCAAGAGGCTGCAGTGGACAGCGGGGTCATCGACGCGCTCTTGCCTACCCTCACCGCCTCCTCTAAAAAGGCGTGGAGCGGCCGCGACGCGAACGTCTCAGAGAAGACCCTCGCCGCAGCGGCATGGACTCTGGCTGCAGAGGGCGGACTTTCCGTCTTCGAAACCGCCCTCCCCGCCCAGCTCGACACATTGGCCTCGACGATCGTGGCGCGCACCGGCCCAGTCGAGGAGGATGAGGGGCTGAGCGTGCGCCGCGCCCTCGCCCGTGTCCTCGGCACCGCCGAAACGTGGGAGCTTTCCTCGCTCCGCGCCGCGCTCCTTCGCGCCCTCGTCACGGCGGCAAAGGAGGGCGGCGGCTTCGCTGTCCTCGCGGCGTCCCCCGCGCCGTGGTTGAGCAAGAGCGCGCGTGGCGCCCTGATCGCAGCCGCGTACGAGGCGGACGCGAATGCTGAGCCCGGGACCCGAGACGCCATCCGAGCCTGGCTTGCGCGCCTGGCGGAGGGAGATGTCCTCGGCCCACTCACGCAGGCAAGCACGCTCAAGCACCTCCTTAAGACCGCAGCTGGCGCCGAGGACGCGACCCTCGAACTCGTCGCTCTCGGCTTCACCTCCGTGGTGAAAACTGCGGCGCGCGACCCGGCCCCTCTTACCGCCGCGATCGGCGTCCTGAAGAAGCCTTACAAGGCGATGGACGTGCGATCCCGCGCGGCCGCCGCGTTCTTCGACGCTGCCAACCCCAGCGGATGGGAGGGAGAGCTGCGCGCCGCTGCGGAATCGCTCGCGTCCGAGGCGAGGAAGAACCTCCCTGCATCCACCCTCGGCGCCGACCCCGCCCGCCTGCGCGCCCACCTCTCCCTGGCGCGCTTCGAGGCACGCCTCGGCCGCGCAGTAGAAAGCGGTAACCTCCTCCCTGCCGTCTTGGCGTCGCGCGACCCCGCGGCCGCCACCCCCGCGCTGGAAGCCATCGCGCTCGCCTCGGACACGGACACGACGCTGGCGGCATACCTCACGCTGCGGTCGTTCGGGGGCACGGCGCTCGACGCCGCCTTCGCGGGCATCGCAGCGTCCCTCACGGCGGAGGCGTACGCTGCGGCATTCGCGGCCCTCCTTCCCCTCCTGCCGCGCGCGGGCGCGTTGCGCGCCACGCGCATCCTCATCTCCGCGCCCGTCAGCGGGTCTGGGCGCGCGCTCGCCGCCGTCCTCCCCGCCCTCTTGTCAGCGCTCGAGGGCGCCGCGGCCACGCATGACGCTGCCGTGTTGGAGGAGACGCTGCGCGTCGTTAGCGCGCTCACGGACGACCGCACGGGCCTGCTGCGGCCCACGGACGCGGCCATCCTCTTCGCCGTGCTCAGCACCATCCTCCTCCCCGGTGCGGCGCCGACGGCCGCGCCTGACGCCGACATCGTGCCCCTCGCCCTCGCCCCGCTACTTACGCTCACGCGGCACCGCGGCGACTTGCTTGTCGCGCACCTCCCCAGCGTGGTCGGCACGTTGGCGGCGTTCTTCCCGCTTCTGCAGCGCGCACGAGCGGGGCTGCGGCACAAGGCGCGGCGGCCGTGGTGGTTTGCCATGGGCACTGAGCAGGTCGCCACTGCGCACGCCGCCCTGCTGGCCCGTACCCTCTCTTCGCTCGCCGTCGCCAAGATCGGCACGGGGACGCGCACCCTTGCTGGCCCTCTCGCCAAGCATGCGCCAGCAATACTTGTCGCTTACGCGCGCGCTGCTAGTGACCCGTGGGCAGCGCTGCCGCCTGCTGTGCGCCGTGAACTCGAACCAGGACTCTTCGCGCTTGCGGACGTCATTACTGCTGGTGGACGCGCCGATGGGCGAGGGCGCGAGGGTGAGGGTGTTGGCGTGCCGTTTGGTCTTGGAGAGGCGCACGGCGAAGCTGAGCGTGAAGTTTGGGCCGAGGTGTGGAAGACTTGGGCTCGGAAGAGGTACACTGGCCGTGGATAGTAAATGGGGGCAACACTACACAGATGCATGTTCACATGGTGCTGATGTATGAGTGACGGTCGGAACGATATGGACAGGGCGCCTGGCCCGGTGCGGATCTCTGCAGTACTCTCGCTGACGCTCGCTCACTGTCTCTCGCTCGCGCCTGTCTATTCAGTGGCCGTTTGTGCGCTGACCCAAGAGCGCCGCCAGCATGTCCTGGTTCGGCGCACCGGGGTACGGCATCATGCCGGGCGGGCGGGGACCGCCGGGACCCATGCCGGGAGGAGGGCCAGGGGGACCTCCTGGGTAATAGTTGGGCGGCAGATAGCCCTGCATGGGCGGAGGAGGCGGCCCATAGCCCGGTCCACCAGGACCCATGGGCGGGCGGCCGTATTCCGCGGGGTGAGGGCCGCTGGGACCGCCGCCCTGGAGATTGCGCAGGAGCTCATCAGGCGACGGACCAGGACCACCGAGGCCGCCCGGCGGCGGGCCGTACATTCCGGGGTGAGGGGGGAGCATGCCCATGGGATGGGGGCCGGGAGCACCACGCTGCAACATTTGAAGCAGGTGATCGCCAGCCGGAGGAGGGACCATGCGGTCGTAGAAGGGTGGAGGGGGGTTGACGGGCAGCTCGCCCATGCCTGGGCGAGGGTAGCCTGGCGGACCAGATGGGGGAGCACGCTGGGTGGGGAACGGATAGCCGCGAGGGTCTGAGCCGGGAGGCGGGCTTGGATAGTGGCTGGCGCGGTGCTGCTGCTGCGGCATCATGTGGGGAGGCATTTCCGGACGCTCGGGACTCAAGTCGGGACGCGAAGCCTGGCGGCTCGGCTGCTGGTGAATGAAATCACGAGGACCATCGGTAGGCGAATGAGCATAGTGGAGACCAGGTGGCATTGTGGGAGGATATTGATCGCCAGGGAAGGTGGGAAGTTGGCCGAGGTTAGAGGGCGGGCGCTGCTGACCCATCTCCATTGAGGGGGGTGCTGGGCTGATGCCCTTTGTCGAAAGTACGCCCATGAGCTTGGCGAGGTGGTCATCCGTGTTAAGAGGGCCGGGGCTCGGCGACGGTTGCTGCGGCTCAGATGGGCCGCGCATAATGGGGCTGATCTGGCTCGGCCGAGCCTGTGGCAGCTGCTGTGGCGGCATAGATGCTGGTGCAGAAGGAACAGGGGGCACAACAGCGGATGGGGGCTGGACAGGCAAGGAACCCGGCACTGGCGTGCTGCCTTGCGCAAAGAAACGCTGGAAGCGGCTCTGGAACGACGGCAGCGACTCGTTCTTGTCGTCCGGTTCATCGTCATCATCGTCGTCGATAACAGTGCGTTTCTTGAAGTAGCTAGCATTGTTGACTTCCTTGGGCTTTGCCGGTGGTTTGATGGTCTGTGTCGTTGACGTGTCGTGACCACCAAAGAAAGACACGAGGGGCTTTTCAGTGGCACGCCAGTTGTCGACACCACCCGCAGCGCGGGCCTTCATAGCGCGCTTGTGGGCCGCAATCTTGTCCTCGCCAGGCACGAACTGAACGAGCCCTTCACCTGCGGTGTCGCCGCCGGCCGAGCTGGAGGCTATCGCGGGGTCCTCGATTGCGGGGGTGTCGTCGGTCATCCACGCGGGCTCGACGCTATCGTCGTCGTAACGCGGGCCACTGAAGCCTGGGGGGCCGCGGCGCGCACCTTCACCATTACGGGTGTGATGGAGGGAAGGTTGTTGCCGGTCGCCCCGGCGCCAGTCACCTTCGTCCCTCCGCCGCCGCTCGCCTCCGCCCTTGTCGCCGTCACGCTGCTGCCTAACCTCGTCGCCGCCGAGACGCAAACCACGCTCTCCGGAGGGCCGCATAGCAAACTTGCCCATGGGTCCGCCAAAGTTGCCGCGGCCTTGTTCAGCGATCGCCGGGTCTATATTGGGATTGTCCTGCTGCGGCTGGCGGCGCAACCTGCTGTCAGTCTCCATGTCACGACAACCCTGCACCTACCCGATGTTCCGTGTCCCTCCACGGCCGAGGCTTCGACCACCTATGCCGATGCCGACACCGAAGCCAAAGCCTTCTCCAAAGCTACCAGCGCCGCCAGTGCGACGACCACCAGGCACGTTGATGCTCGCGATCGCGGGATCTTCAACGCGTGCTGGCGGAAGAGGGCCAAACCAGTCCTGTAGAGGGGGGAGTATGGGTGTTCTTGCCTTCTTGCTGAGACGCAGGAGCTCATAGCGTGTGTACACTTTGAGGGGGCCGCGTGGTCTGGATGATGATTCAGCCGATGCAGGTGTCGAGGAAGACCCAAGACCAGGCGGCACGAGACCGAGGATGGCGTTCATTTCTGGGTCTTCGATCGCGGAGTGAATCAACTCTGGTGAGAGAGCAGCGAAGTGATTGAACTGCGGCGACGTTGCTAATGCCGCTTGTGGTGAGGCTGTCAGGGGATGTCAAGAGTAGAGAGAGAGAGAGAGAGAGTGAGTGAGAGGGAAGTAGAGAAGGCGGGAGTTGGTCAGCGAGGGGGCGGGTGCAAGCAAGATAGGCGCGAAAGAGAAGGCGTTGGGATTGGGAGGACGAGTGAGGGGGATAGAGGTGGGGAATGGTTGTAAGGGTGGAAGATCGAAGTGGTGAGCAGCGCAGACGAAGGAGCGAGTAATAAATGACGAGTAAGGTGATGGGACGGAGCGCAATGGGTCGGAAGTGCGATGAGGTTGGGGTAGCGGAGGTCAGCAATGTGAACGGGGCAGCAAGAGGATGAGACGTACAGGGCCCCATTGTTGCGACGGAGACTCGGGGCTCGGATCACAGAGGGGGTGGCGATGGAGAGTGGATATGCCGAGGGGAGTGAGGGGAGGGGAGAGCAAGGGAGTTGAGATGATGAGGAGTTGAGTAGAAGTGATGGTGAAGACGAGTGATGAGTAGAAGAGAGGAGGATGATGGATATCGAGCGAGACAAGGGAGGGAGGGAGGGAGGGATACGAGGGATGATAGTGCCAGTAGTGCGAGTGAGTGGATACCGAGGAAGGTCACTCCAAGGAGGGAGGGCCTTGAGGGCCTCGAGTGGGGGGGGGGGCGAGAGCTCAAAGGCACCAATTCGACCTCTTTCACCGCAGCGTCACCGTCCACCATCACTCGAGATTGATTCCGCTCACCCAACCCCCCCCCCCCACCATTCCCATTCCACCCAAACGCCACCATCATTCAGTTCGCTCTGCCCCACACATACACACCTACTGTACAAGCATGCATGTCCTTCACCCACAGCTCAACACACGACATCGGAAAGTCTAGATCTAGTACCCATACCCACCCCGCGGCTGCCCGTACGGGGGCGCCTGCGAAGGGCGTCCGTAAGAGTCCAGCATGCGATTGCTACCTGCCGAGCCGGGGCGGTTGTATGCGTCGAGAATCTGGCCGCTGCCTGCCGATCCCGGTCGATTGTACTGGTCCAACATGTGTGTGCTACCGGCTGAAGGACGCCGGCCGTACTGGTCCAACCTCTGAACGCTGCCCTCGGATGGGCGCCGGCCGTAGTCGGCCGGGCCGCTGCCATTGCTCGTCGTGCGCGACATGGCCTCGTCGTAGAGAAGGTGGCCGGCGCTGCCCGAACGAGAGCGGGTTCCCTGTGTCTGGGGGTAGCCGGGCGGGCCAGCTACCTGCGCATACTGTTCAAGAGCATCGCCAACACTGCCCCGCGAGCGCGCAGGGTAGAGATCGCGCGCGCTACCGCCACTTCCCTGACCGCGGGGGTGGTGGCCCATGCTGTCATTTGAGGTGCGGCCACCCAGATCAGTCGAGCTGCTCGTGCCGCGGTGCGCCAAGGGCGGGCGCTGGAACGAGCTGGGCGGGTACGGAGTGCCGCCGCTGCCGCCGGACCATGGCACGAGCAGAGGCGCCTCACTGTCCTCTCGGTCGCGCCCTCCCCCGTACCGTCGAGGTGCGCCCGTGGGCATACCGTATGTGTCGGACCGGGCGGGGTCAGATAGCAGCTCGTCCGTCGACGGATTGTACACGCGCTGGAAAGACGCGTTGGACTGTGCTAGGACCACCGGTCCGCCACCGACACCGCCGTAAAGGCTGCCGGCATCGCTGCCGTTGCCGTCCATCTTGCTGAGCGCCATTGTCGAGGCGATCGACTTGGTCTCCCAATCTTCCTGCTGGCGCTCGTCTGCCGGTCCGTCGCGCTCGGGGTTGTACTCGAGGTTCTCCTCGCGGACAGCCTTGATCTGCACACCATCGCGGGCATTCTTGGCGGCAAACCACGGGTACGGCTCCAGCACCTGGCGGGTGAGAGACTCCTGACTCTTGTGAACCATGACACCGAACAGCTTGTCCGGAAGCAAAGATGGGTTAAGGAAGCGCTTCTCGAGGTCGGACGCCTTGATCCGCTTCTCCGTCATTGCCTTGCGGTTCTGGATCTCGATCTCCTGCGGGGATGGACGGTAGTAGCGGAAATCAGCCTCGGCAGTCTTGACCATGAAGATCTTGAAGACGATCAGGATGGGAATAGGAGGCGCAGCAGCGATGAGGTACCAATAGTACCCAGGGCGGACAAGTGCCACGGCTGTCTTGTTAGCGCGGTAGGACAAGGCAACTCACTGAGCACCATGAGGAGCTGCATGAGAATGACGCCGACGTAGAGGCGGTTAACGTAGACGTTCCACATGCGGCCACCGCTCTCAGCCTTGGTGATGTAAACGTACAGCAGCTGGTACTTGTACTGCAGTGTTAGCCAAGTTGACGGTCCACGTAGCGGGACTCACCACCATGAGCGAGAAGCAGAAGGCAAACAATGCGCCAATAGCCACAAGAGGAGCGAGCGGCGCGTACACCAAGCCCACAGCAGCGATGAACAAAAGGTTCACCACAACAATGCTGTACTCGAACGAGGGTGGCCTGGTGATGTCACGAATGTCACGTGGAGTGTACGAGAACATGACGCGGCGCCATGATACCATGGCCAGCTTGATGAGCTGAATGAGCTCAAAGAAGAGCAGGAAACCACGAAGCGGCAGCCATGTGAGCCAGTAATTACTGAAGCTAACGTATGCGCGCTGGATGTCTGTAGGTTAGCGCATGAAAAGAATTTGCGACTCACTCCATGGGAGCTCCTTGAGATTGTTGAGAATGCCGCCTGCACCACGGTTATTGGTAAGATCCTGGATGATGCCCAGGATAAAGTTGAAGAAGAGGGAGAGCAAGACGAGCACGATGAGCGACGACACGATCATGAAGAAGAAGTAGCGAGCAATGACGCCGCGGTCAAGCTTCGAGCGGGTAGGCGCGCCCTGTTTCTTGGAGATGCGCCGGATTATGTAGGGCAGGAGGAAGCCGAAGACGCCCTGCACGGTCGCGGGAAGGACACCAGACACAACATTGAGCGACCATGGACTGGCGGCCTGCCACGCCCCAATGAAGCCGACATACTGCGACAGTGCACCGAGGTTGGCAAGAATGGCAACCAGTGTGAGGGGCAGGGTGTTGAGGAAGCAGACGACGGCGATCCAAACGAAGCCAAAGGTTCGCGCTGTCGCAATCTCGGCGGGATCCTTGGCTAGATTCTCCCAGAGAATGTCGCGTGGGGGTGGGGCAAAATGGAGCCTCGCACCGCCAAGCTCTTTGAGCTTGCCCTGGTGGCGACGGGCGATGCGGTGCGCCTCTGCAATCGTGCGGAACGTGATGAAGCCATAGTTCTCGCCTTCAATGCGCTGCATGGGCTTGCCCTGCTTGCGCGCCTTGCGCTCCTGGCGGATGAGCGAATCAATGACCTCGCGGCGCGCGTCGATTTTATCGCGCAGAAACTTGACTTGCTTGGCAAAGTAGTCGATGGCGTCGTGCTTGGTTCCTCCGATGCCCATGAAGCCACCCTTACGGACCGTAGGGCGCTTGGCAGCCATTTTGTCGTGCTTGAGATACTTCGTCAAGGCGCGCTCGAGATCACGGACGGCTTCGTTGTGGTCGTGCACAAGCTTGGGGAAGTCGCCCAACCGGCGGCCGATGGTCGCGCAGTCAATCTCGTCACGGATCTTGATGCCGTCCACCTTGAGCTGGCCCATGAGGTGCACGAGACCCTCGTCGCTGCGGTACGTCTTGGGAACCTGCGTAATCATAAGGGTGCGCGAGTAGATCTTGCTCGTGTAGCCCGGAGAGCGAAACCAGTGGTGGCGGAGCATAACGACGGCGTGCCAGTTCTGCCACACAAAGAACATGACAGTCAACGCTGAGGTCAGCAGTGCGCCCGCGCACACACCCACTAATGAGGTACGACACGGCCAATGTGCCCCAGATAAAGTTGCCCTGGACGTTCATGGAGGTAAGCATGCCGAGACCTTGCTTGTCGGCGGCCGCCACCTTGTTATCGGGGTTTCTGTTGTAGAGGACGTAAAGAATGATAAGGACGACACCGTAGACTGAAACGACGGCAAAGATCCAGATCAGCATGCGGACAAAGCGGAGGAAGACGGTCGCGTCCATGCCAATATTCTTGATCATCTCGTGCTCCTTGACGTGAATGACGGGGCTAAGCCATGCGAAGAAGCTGCCAGAGAGGGCCGGGGGTGGTGGCTCGTAATCTGGGTCGTCGAGGGGGTTGGTCGGTGGAGGCATACCATATTTGATCTGGCGTAAGCTGAGGCGGGCGCAGGAGGGGATGACACGCACTTTTGGAGCATAGACCTTACTCTGTCGCGGACGGAGTAGGGAGAAGCATATAAAGGTGAGGAGCTGGTGTCAGCGTGTATCTTTGTTCCCCGTGTTCTGGTAGTTTGGAGGCGCTGGCGTCGACCGGGAACGCCGAACCGCAGGAAAGCCGACCATCAGGAGCGGCGGACCGGCAGGGGAGGATCGCGAGGAAGCAGGCGATCAAGTCGAGGCAAGGCGAGGCTGCGTTCGCCGTTCGCCGTTCGCCGTTCGCCGTTCGCAGCTCGCGTGAGACAGAGGTCGGGCCTCGAGTCATGCGCAGGTCCCTGGTCGCCCCTCAACAAAGCAGGCTCGCAGCCTCCACTGCGCAGTCAAGCCTCTTAACCTGGGCCGCCTTCCCACACTATCGCACGGCGCTTGCCGATACGATCCATCCTCCACGCCAGCGTGACCATTTCTGATCCCTTCCACCTACTCCGAGCAAAGACTTACAGAGATACCAGTCATCAATCCGACCTGCGTAGCGACACCATAGGCACTAGACTTGAGCTGCCTCTCGTGTGCCTGCACGGCGTTGGAGAAGAAGCTGAGGGCATCGTCCCCGCCGCTTGCCTGGGTGGAACTCATAGCGGCGTGCTAGCGCGTGTGAAGGGTGCGCAGGTATTGGTGATGCTTGTGGGCAGTGAGATATGGGTGATGGGATGAGAGGGTGAGGTGAGGGAGTCTCGTGCGAGCGCAGGAAACTTGTAGCGCAAGTGGAGGCGCTGGTCGTCAAGCGCTGTCCGAGAAGCTGTGCTCGGAGAGGGGCCGAGCCGAGGAGTCGTCGAGCGGAAGGTATCCAGAGGCCAGCTCCGAACAGTGGTTTAGAGAGCGAGGGAGGAGAGAGAGTGATGTGGAGAATGGAAAGTACGAGGGGATGGAGGAGAGGGAGAGGGAGAAGAGGAATGAGGAGGAGAGGTGGGTGATGGGCATCAAAAGTGGGTCTGAGCGTGCTTGATGGCAGGCGCGCGTTGTTTGGTGCCTGGCGCGTGAATGGATTGTGTCCAGAGTTGCCTATGCTGTGGGTGTATTCAAGGCTTGAGAGCTCCCAAAGACGATTAATGGTGATGATGAATGAGAATGCGAATGAGAAAGCATGCTCGAGATCTCGAGACGTGGTGCATGCGTGCTGCCGTAGTCTGACTACAGTATTCTGGCAAATCTACTGACGTGCATGCATCACACTGGAGATGAGAGAATGACACGAAGGGTGGCCCCCCCGAAATCGCATGGCAAGTCTGGAACTGCTCTTATTACACCCACCTGGGGCCCACTTCGCACTCTTCGGTGTAAGGCGAGAGAAGAGAATGAATGCAGAAACGGAGATACAGGCGTCAGCCTCCTAACGAGGGCCTATGACGGAGGAATGAATACGGAACCACGTGGCCTAGCCCGAACGGTGATATCGGCGATATCGGGGATGGCATCGGGAATGGCGTCAGCCACGTGGGGGGGGCGAGCACGTGACATGGTCGTCACGTGACAATGCAGGCGGGAAGGACGTGTGGTGGAGGGTCCGGTGGCGTGAGAGGGCTACACGACCCCCCCCCCGCGAGGAG